ATTTCAGTAGATTATTCAAAAACTTCATTAACAAAATCAAGAGTTTGAAGGTTTCCTCCAGCCCTTGGATAGAGAGCTTAAGATTATCATCACATTGTAATCAATAAAAATATGTTGAAAGAATATCTTAAAACTCATTATTTTAATAGTTTGGCATACTTGTATGTCGTGCAGATTTATCAACTTGTTTATTTTTGATGAAATGATTTAAAATAATTTTTAATCAAAACAAAGATAATAGACTTTCATGTAAATAGCCTGTGGGTTCTTTTGTGGCTTTTTCTCCCTTTGTTATGAAAACACCTGAATTCATTTTATTTTAACAATGAACACTAGAATCAAAGGGATAAAGTCTCTATTTTTGTCTCAACCCTCGAGTGATTTAAATTATATAACACTGTAAGGATACCAAGGACACTGGTGTAGTTTTCAGTGACTGAGCTGTACTATGTTTCATTGACTGGGAAGAAAAGTTTTTACCATTTCCATTTTCTAATTTTATTTTCTAATATCAAGCTGTTACATATGCCTCTGTGGACCTGGGTTATCTGAATAAGTACAACATACAACAAGTAAGATTTTGATGCGAAAGACTGTAAGGGAAGATCTGTTCTGCTCAGTGGACATGAGACAAACTGGCTGAATGAGGTCATTATTTTGAACCTGTATAAAACAAACCCGTCTCATTTTAGTGTATCGTGTCTTAAGGTAAAGGACATAACAACACTAGAGGAAACCAATCCTTAATTGTTATCCGAGTTCACTACCTTTTGGTGTTCCTGTAACTTCTCACTTCAAGGCTTTTTTTCTAGATCTTTATAACATGCAATTTCAATAGTATAATAGAAGTAAGAGTGTACCATGTAAGAATCTTTTTTCCCATTAAGCTTCCACATTATTATCTTTTCTATCTTATCTAGTCCTTTTTCAACTTCCTGAAATATATTAATTTTGCAAAAATAAATAATAGGTAACATTTATTGAGCATTTACAATATGCTAGTCACAATGCTAAGTGATTTACATGTGTTACCTAATCCTTACCAACCCTTTGGGATAGGTACTGTTATTAATATTATTCCTGAAGATAATATCCTCAGAGAGATTAACTTCCCCAGTGTCACTTAAATAATGAGAAGTGTCAGGATTCCAAGCCAGCAATGTGACTCTTGAACTCATCATTTTATTTGCTCACCACAATACTGCTTATTTGTGAAGTCAGCAACTTTTTCAAAAACATCATCCCCCCTTTTTATCCACTTTCCTCCTGCTCCGTTCCTCTAGTCCAGACAGATAGCCCAGTTTTCCATGCTGATAGGCTACAACCTCTATTCTTACATTTCGCTTAGGCATGAAATAACCTCTGAAATATTTCCTCCCCCTACTAATTTAAGCTGTTTAAGATAATAAACTGATTAAACTAGAGCATACTAAATCGCAAGAGTATCTATAATTAATACTAGATGTCTTTTTTCCCAAAAGTTATTTGCATATTATGACTACCAGTAACGTTTGTATGCTTTCTTGACATTCATACTTTAACTTTATCCTCAAAATTGTTCTTATAGTTAGGATTATTCCCATCTTACAGATAAGGAAGCTGAAGGTCAAAAAAAGTCAATAAATCCAGGTCTTCTGATTTTAAATCCTGCCTTCTCTGTTAGAGCAATCTGCCTCTTCAACTTAAACCTGCTGGGGAAAGTATTGCCTTTGAGAGCTACTCGAATTACACTAGTCTCCTCTCATATACAGAGCCCTGAAAGGCTGGCACCACTACTATTCCTTGACTTTCATAAGAAGCTTGTTCAAGAAGATATATTTAAAAGATAGTGTGTGATGTTTGCCTACCTGGCTGTATTGTTTTTCCGCTAGCAGTCAGATCAAACTGCTATCAGATCTTCAAAGAAGTTGGTTGTTATTATAGGGAACTTTTCAGGTATGGAATACTTAGGACTTAGCAAAGTAAAGTGAGAAGTAGTAGTAGAGATCTTCCAAACTAATTAGGAGGAGGTTATATGATGGAACTGATTAGGAAAACCCAAACTAAATTACTTAAATAGAATATTTAGATGATTACTAATGAATTTCAACAATTTCAGACAATTGATAGTACAGATAGATACCCTACATGCTGGAGTTTTTAAGAGAGACATGGGTTATCAAAGAACTCACTTTAGAAAAACAGTTTAATGCATTAAAAAGGGGCATCTGTGGGGAAATCAGAAGATGTGGTCTCTATTACTCCATACTAATCATAGAAGAGAATGATAATATTTGGTCCAGGGAGAAAGGAAATAAAGATCCAACAAATGTTATGAAGGATAAAATAGCTATCTTTATGAAAGACTGGGAAGAGGATTATGAGGAATCAAAGGATTATCAAAATTTAGTGTGTGAATGATGGGTGAATGAGACTTTTGGTCAGGGACCATAGAAGATTGATCCTGTGTAGAGAAGTATTTGTTTTCTGTCTTACGTTTTCTATGGCATGCTGTCAGGATTCTGGTCAAGAAGTGTACATTTCAACTATGAACCCATAGTGGACATCAGCTATTTTTCTTAAATATAAAAAATGATAGTATTATTTAAACTCTTATTTTTCTTACATTTTCTAGGATTATATATAGGAGAATTACAGTCATTTGAATTTTATGATTTTTGTACCTGAGTACAAAAGCAGTACTTTATAAAGTAGGTATGAGTTAATGGCAGACTGAAGAAGGAAGGGAGAGAGGAAGGAAGGGAGAGAGGACAGAGGGAAAAGGAAGACCTTTAAAGCTATATTAAAGGAAAGGTGGAAGACTTTATAGATCATTATACTTTATAAGGACTGTAATCAAGCAGTTTAAAGAATGCACTTGTTGGAACTTAGTTTGTCAAGTTGATTGGGGAAGGAAAAGTCCTCTGGAATTTATTTCTTATCCATTCAAAAAATTATATAAGACTTTTCTTTGAAAGAATTATAGATGATATAAATTCCAAGGTAATGTTATTACTACAGTTTTGTCTTTCAAAATACAGTATCCATTTAAGTATCATAATTTTGCAATATAGTGGGAGAGTATCATGGTTAAAGGAAGCTATTTTGTGAAGCTTGTGGCTATTCTTGTGTCAGCCCCATATGTGGAGTATGTCTGAAGAACTTACCTCTTTTGAATATCATAAAAAATGGATTTTTCAGGTTGATTAGGAAAATCCAGACCAAATTACTTAAATAAAAATAAAATATTTCGATGATTACTAAAGGATTTCAACTATTTTAGGTAATTTAAAGTATAGAACCCTATATGCATAATTTGAGGTTGAAAACTTCTTAAAATGGTATCTTTAAAATTTTTTGAAGTTCACTTTCATTCAAAGTTCTATTATTAAAATTTGAGCTTCATTTTAACTGTAATTGCATTTAACTGTAATTGCATAATATAGCCTGTAAAACTCATTCGAATGTTAATGTATTTATGTCTTGATATTTATATGTTGATAACAAAACTCTTTGAGGGATATTGGGTATGCCTATTCTGTTTCTTTTATTGGAGCTAACTTTTAAATTATGATTTTTTTTTTTAAGCGTGCTGATGACATCACAAGTTTAGTAACTGATACTACACTTCTTGTACACTTTTTTGGAAAGAAAGGAAAAGCTGAGCTCAACTTTGAAGATTTTTATAAGTGAGCTTAATTTTTATATTTTTATTGAAAATTGTTAACATGCTACAATCAAAAAGGGTCTTTAGAAATTGTCTTGTGCAGTGATACCTCCTCTTTACTACTTTCATCTTAACTAAAGATACTCTGTATAACAATTATTCACTTCTATCAGTACCTATATACCAGTGCTTATATTGAGAATTATAACAGGAAGTTACTGTGAATGGTTAAAAAAAAAAAAAAAAAAAGTCTGGATATCTCAATTGATTCTTGTCTCCTATATATTCAGAAGAAAGTATGTTGCCAATTCCTTAGTCTCAATAAGCCACAATAATAACAAGCAGTTTAAGTATCATTACTACTCTGCAAGGTACTTTTGTTATACCCATTTTATAGATGAGGAAACCAAAGCCCTGAGAGGCTAAATTATTCACCCCATGTGCTATAGTCAGTAAGTGGTAACACCTCTCATATCTTGTGCTTTTTGCTTTCCCATTTACAGAGAGAGATTTTATGAATCTTTGTGTCATCATATCATTATTTCCATATGACCTTTCTATGCCAGTGAATATTTGATAATTTTCTGTTACCATTACTCTTCATTTATCTTGTTCATTCTTTATTATATTTTCATCATAGGTTCATGGATAACCTCCAAACAGAAGTTCTAGAAATAGAATTCCTTTCCTACTCAAATGGAATGAATACTATCAGTGAAGAAGATTTTGCTCATATTCTTTTACGATATACAAACGTGGAAAATACATCAGTATTTTTGGAAAATGTGCGTTACAGTATACCTGAAGAAAAGGTATCTATCCCCTATATTTATTTTGTTACATGTTATTATTAATAGCTTATGACTATACATGTCCTTAAAACACATTGCCCTTTTATAAGTTCTTTTACTCCTCTGTGGATTATAAGATATCTTATAAATATTTTATTCTTTTTCCTCTGTGTCCTAAGTGTTCTGGCTAAATTTTTAAAAATTAATTTTAAATTCTGGGTAGCGAGCCATATTTTTCTAACTATGCTGAAAACATTTAAGGCTATTAGCAATTGTTTTATTCAAATTAAGAATATCACTTTTCAAGAGAATTCCACTGAACTATATGCTTTGACTACTACCTAAACATCACCTCATAAAAAACAGTTTATATTTACATCATTTCTGTCACACTCTGTTCCTTTCTATAACACCCTTAATAAAAGGTCATTTGAAGACTGCCATTGATGAGTGAGTGATCTTATCATCGGTTAAAGTGAAGTTTTTCAAAGAGTTTGGATGGCATGAATAGTTAAGAACCTGGGACAACCAATTGTCTGTTTGTTTAGTAACAAATGCATTGTCAGCGCTTCTGAGCAGTTGCATTATCTGTTGGTATTTGAATGCATCATTGCGACCAAATAGAACTGGTGTTACAAGTACCCCTTCAAGCATGGGATGTTTTGGATATACGGCCTTCTATTTATGTTTATAGAAGGATCAGGTTAATCTATCCAAGAAAAACCTGCAAATAGTTTGACTCTGTTTCGAATGGATACACTGTGACAATGTTAACAATTCTCTGTGTCTACTAAGGAATGAGAAAAAAAGGACTCGATGCATTTGGCCTTTAGTTTTACATTCTCTCTTAATCAGAGTCTTTTTACCTGTTTTGCATGTTAAACTGAATTTTTCTAATTCATAGATACTTCCCTAAAAATAAATATTGGAAATTGTACTACTTTATCAAACTAGTAGAGTATTATTTAGGACCTTGAATCTATACATTTTTTTCTTTTATTAAATGGAAATGTATCAAAATCTGTAATTCAAAAGGTTAAATTCCAGGGTGAGAATTTATAGGAACTTTTTGAAGTGTTTTTGCAACTGTTTTTTACATCTAATATTATTTCAAAATACAACTTTTTTAAAGTTAAATTCAGCTTCTGAAACCTTCTGATTGATTGGAATATTTTAAGTACTATAAATCATTAAGGTAGAAAAGGAAAATTTTACAAGTAAACCAGCATTGATTGATTCTCATTGATTTCTTTCTGCATTACCTCATCAATCCTCAGAACAACCTTCCAAGGTTGACATCTTTCTTTTGGAATAAGGGAAGCTGAGGCCTTCAGGTACTTAAACACTTGCCCAAGGATTCAAACCCAAGGCTTTCTAAGCCGGTGATATTCCTTCCACACCCTACTTAAGTCTTTCCCTTCCTCCGCCTCTCAATCTCCTTCTCTCCAAAAGGATAACAATCACTATTATTTGAATAGCACTTCACATTTATAAAATACTTTCATTTTCATTTATTTAGCAGATATTTATTAAACACCTACTGTTTACTAGGCCTTATTCTAGCCACTGGAGTTAAAGTGATGATATAAGCAAAATCCTTCTCTCATGGAAATATTAATATATATTAGTAGAGAGACAAAATAAGTAAACACGAAAATGGCATACCCACACAAGCCCTGAGCTGAGTCTCCCAGAGCTGTATCTTTAGTCATTGCACTTCCTCCTGCTGTCCTGGCAGTGTTATCATGACAGGAACAAGCACAAATATACTAGGTTGATGCCCAATCAACATTTTGAGTTTGCATTGTCATTATAAAGACATTAATGACCTAATGCTGAATCGTATTTAAGGAGTACATGTGCAGGGGAAACTGTTTTTAATGACTTCCTTCTGTTTTTTAAATTCTTTATCATCATATTTACTTTTAGGGTTTAAAGAAATTCAGGCCTAAAATAGAGGGCTTTCAAAATTGAAACTTTTCATTTTTACTGTAGCATTTTTTGGAACTTTGTGCAAATATGACAGTGTTTAAAAAATATTTTCACTTATTATTTTAATGGTAACAACACTACCCAGTGGAAATAAGTCTGAGTTAATTTTACATTCCATTTGGAGAAAGAAGGTTTCACAGTGTACCCTGGAAATGTTTACTTATAAGATATATTGCAGATGCTTAATCTGTTTATTTCTCTTAAGTATAGATACATATTTTAATAAATTTTGTAATACTAAATATATTTACATTTATTTTCCCAATATAGGGCATCACATTTGATGAATTCAGGTCATTTTTCCAGTTTCTTAACAACCTAGAAGACTTTGCAATAGCCCTGAATATGTATAACTTTGCAAGTCGTTCTATAGGACAAGGTAAGTAATCATCTTTCAAAAATTAGACTGGGTGTGGTGACACACCTGTAATCCTAGCACTTTGGGAGGCTGAGGCAGGAGAATTGCTTGAGGCCAGGAGTTTGGGGCGAGCCTGAGCAATATGGCAAGACCCATGTCTCTACAAAAAATAGAAAATTTAGCCAGGTGTTGTGGCGTGCGCCCGTAGTCCCAGCTACTCAGGAGTCTGAGGCAGGAGGATCATGTGAGCCCAGGATTTTGAGGTTGCTGTGAGCTATGATGACACCACTGTACTCTAGTCTGGACAACAGAGTAAGACCCTAACTCCAAAAAAAAAAAAAAAAAAATTAAAAGCAAAAAATAATCCTACATTGTTTCTAGAGATTTTGGCAATAATTAAATATTTCATATCATATCACCCAACTTGCCTGAAAGTCTGGTGTATACTTTCAGTGAGAAATCAGTTCTGACACTTAAAAGAAAACTAAGCAAAGTTTAGGGAAATGTGCTAAATCTTCATATCGAATTTATTTTTGCACTTAATTTCATATCATGGAGAAAAGCTAATGATATTTGTAAAAGTTCAAAGAAGAAGAAACCGCATGGCCACTTGGTATCATTAGGGGACAGGTGTCCACCTGCAGAAGAACCAGGTGGCCGTGCTCCAGACATTCCCCCAGGATGGTATTTATGTTACTGATTTAATGTTTGCCAACTCAGAGACCCGAGTTTTGTCAGCAGAGCCACCTCTTAGCCATAGACTTACATTGACTGACTTTTGAGAATGATATATGAAATTGAATATCAATTTTGCTTAATTTACAAAGAAATACAACTGTCACAGAGTTCAGAATGCCGTTGTCCTCAGAACCAGCTCCTTACCCCGTAGGTGGACTATCAGGCCAGGTACTTTTCTAGAATTCTCTGGCTGTGATCATCCTCCCTCCCCTCATGGCCATATCTCTTTATAAAAATTCTTGCCAAATGGGGACTTTATATCTTTAAGGTGATTAACTGTCTCTGCTGTAATCCCAAGCTTAAATCTCAGAGGACAGTCTTAGTTTTTTAATTACCAAGTTCTAGGGAGAAGCCAAGCTGCAGCCCCTCAGTGCTGATGACAGTTACCTCTGCCCCGAAGACACAGGTATTGACTCCACCATGTGGCCTCGTTCATTTGTCCATTGAGTAAGAGAAACCTGAAAAAATTTCATATTTTACCCTTTCTCCACTCTGGACATTCAAATATGGCACCTTCTCAACCCATTTTAGTGTTTTAAAATCAAAACTTTTGGGAGCCCTGCCTTTCAGACCAGCCTATATTACCGTGATAAACCTAATCAACCTTTTTTTTAAAAAAAAAAATCAGTATCTGCTCACTTGGTTCAGAATGGAAAGTTGCTCTTTTACTTTGTGGAACTGGGAAATGAAAAAAAACTAATTGTGTCACTTGTTTTGCAAGTGCTAGGAATATATCCATCCTTTTCTTTTGTTTTGTCACTACTAGCATCTTATTCAAGTTACTGCCTTTTTGAAGGACTATTGCAGTGGTAGCCAAAGTGGCATTCCTGGTACTAGCTACTTTCCTCACCAATGTTTCCTAGACAGCTACAGAATAATCTTCCTAAAACACAAAGTAACCTTCCTACGACACACCTTCTCCGGAAAACTATTAAGTTTTCCAGTTGCCCATTGAAGAATGTACGGGTTCCTCACCTCAAAGTCCCTATGCAGAGCTTCCTACAGATCCTGTCTGGCCCCTGGCTTTGCCCAAACCAGACTCCATTGTTTTCTGAATGTGCTTTATGCTGCCCTGTGTCCCCACATGCCTTGGTTCTTTCATGTCATCTCATCTGCCATTTCTCTCTTCTCTACAAGCTGAAATCATCTATCCTTCAGGGCTCAGCCCAAATACAAAATCCCAGCCTTTCCTAATCACCGCTCTTCTCTCTCTTCTTCCTATTCCATATACCAGTCGGAAGTACTTATGCATCTCCAAATTCTCATAACACCTTGTTGGTACTTTTCGTGTGGCCCTGTGTAATGACTGTTTGGGCAAGTGTCTCATCTCCCATCTGAACTCTAAGTTTCTTGACAGCTTATCTTAATAACTTCTAAAGTATCTGTCACTGATAGTAGGTGCTCATTAAACATTCATGGATTATGAGTGCATGATTAACCTAAGATACAGCTGCTTCCTGTAGGGAACAAAAATTATTCCCTAAAACACAGCATGATTAATGAAAAGATGTGTTGCATAAGGTCATGATCCATTTTTAGAAAACAATTTTTTTTACAACTTTTCTAATAATTAACATATATTATAAAAATGTTAACAAACTACTCTTTTTTTATGTGACATTATCTAGATGAATTTAAACGTGCCGTCTATGTAGCTACTGGACTCAAACTTTCACCACATTTAGTGAACACTGTCTTCAAGATTTTCGATGTTGACAAAGATGATCAATTAAGTTATAAAGAATTTATTGGAATTATGAAAGACAGACTCCATAGAGGATTCCGGGTAAACTACAGATTTTAAGCATATTGATATCCTTTTTAAAATCTGAGGGAAAAAAAATCCATGTAAGTTTAGAAA